GGATCACCTCCCAGCAGTGTGACCCATCTGCTGCGACTCGTGTGTGGTGAGAGTGAGCTGCATCTGTTTCCATGCCGACACAGTTTTCCCAGCATCACATATTGGAAAAGTGGTCCATGCTTCCAAGGGGCAGGGCTGTGAGCTAGATGGGGCTGCTGCCCTGGAGGTGAGGTGGGCTGATGGGGGGGTGTGCCACTCTGGGGGGCTGGGATGGACAGGACAGCAGGGGACGGAGGCTGTGTGGGAAGGGGCAGAGGCGGGAGAGGGTCAAGAGTGCCGTTCTTCACCATCAGATCTGAAAACGTATTTGTATCCATAGAGAGAAAAAAACAAGTGTTTACAATAGGCCTGTATTCCTCTCAACCTGTTCAATATTCTGTATGCATTCAGCTTTAGAATCTGAGCGTGGGGTTACGTGGACCGGGGGCCCAAAATCACTGGCCTTCCGGCCGGCCTCTTCCTAAGGATTTAGTTCCCTCTTCATATTTGTTCCTTCAATTCCCGGTGGAAAAGCAGTTTCCTTGGATTTTCACTTATTCTCAGCACTTCAGAGCTGCCCCTCTGTTGTCTCCTGGTATCTGCTGTTGCTGAAGAGAAACATGTCAATCTTACTATTGCTTTGGTTGCTTTTTTCCCCCATGAGAGCTTTAGAATATTTTATTCTTGAAATCTAGACATGTCTAGGTATGAATTAATATTTCTCTTGCTTGGCAGTTGAGTATACTTCCAAAGTGTGGACTCATGCCTTCCTTCAATTGTAGGGGAAAAAAAGCTATTAACTCTTAAAATACTGATTCTCCTATATTCTCTACTTTTTTTCTGGGAGGCCTATCAAATATATCTTGAAGCCTATCAGTTATTCTCCATATTGATGAACTGATATTTCATATTAAAAAATAAATAAAACTCTCCTTTAACCCTTTCTGTTCTTTGGGTGAGTTCCTAGTAATATTTTCCAGTTTGCTAGTTCTTTCCCTGATTGTACCCAGAGTGGAGTTTATTCCATCTATTTAAATTAAAATTTTCATGACTATGTATTTTTTCCAAGATTTCTAACTTTTTTAGTTACTTAAATTTTTTCCCTTTTGTAGAATTTGGAATTGCTTGCTATTTATTAAGAGTGCTTATTCATTCATTTAGCATACTGATAGTATCTTAAACACATATAGAAAGTATTTGTCATATTGCTTCCTAAGATCATTTCCAACAGGAGCGAATTCATGTAGTGAACTGAAATTTTGTTGGCTGTCTTACTTATTTCCTCATGTGCCTTCGACTTTATATTTCTAGGCTTAATTTTAATTGAGGGGTGTCTTTTTGTCACTTTTACCCCTTCTGTGCTCATTCTGTCTAGTGGCTGTGACTTCTTCCCCCGACTCCCCAGGCCCCTGTGCTGAATGGTGGTTTCTGTTCTGCGGTGATACTGGGGACATCTCGATCAAGCCACAGAGCTGGGGGCTGACTTGATTGGTTCTTTGTTCTCCAACCTCTCTGTTCTGCAGGTGGCCGGACATACTAACTTTAGACAATGTTTTGCATCTGGATATTTTTTCAGCCTCCCCTTCCTCCCCGTCCCCTGGCTTCAAGTGGAGTTTGATTCCAGGGTCTTGTCTGAGGAGCCCTTTTTGATATCTTTTTGCGCAACAGGAACCAGACCCCTGGCGGCCAGAGCTCTGGCAGACCACAGACGGTGGCCTGACACCCCAGCCCTGCTCATCGAGCTGTCGTTCTGGTCCTTTTCTGATTGCGCGCCCCACCCCCGGCCCCCACCAAAAAGTTTTGTTCTGTTTTTAAGCATTGCAAATCTTTCTGGTTTTCCTTTTCTTTTCTTAATATTTAATCTATCATTGGTCTATATTCAGAGCATAGGGAGTGTATCAGAGTTGAATTGATCTAGTCACCTTGACCAAAAGTAGAAGCTTGAGTATTTAAATTTAGCTCCCAGCACTTAAAAGAAATAGGACTGCAGTTTCTATAACTCTGGGATGAGGTTTGGGGCCCTGCAGGACCATGCCTGCCTTTCTCATCTTTATTTCCCAAGCACCTATTAAGGGGCCTTACACATAGTAGATGTTCAACAGTATTTGTTGAATGATGAATTATCAAATATCATCAAGGGTGTAAAGAGCTAATACCGTATGTGTATTTACGCTTGCTTTCTCAAAACAGCTGAATATATCTGGGGAATTCAGGAAAAGCAGCAGAATGATCATGACCCTTGCCTGTGACTCCTGTTGAAAACATCCCACATGGTGTCTCTTTCCAAACGAGAAAGGAATGGTAATCTCACTAGTTTCTGTTCTTAAAAGTGGAAACACTTGTCCTTCCATTAGACACTCCACTTCCTGAAAATAGAGCAAGTAGAACTGGAACCAGTGAGAACTGATTCACGTGAAGGAAGTTTCAGGTCCAATTCTCAATGCCAAAGAGATTTTTGTCTTAAAACAAGGATCTTCAGGCTTCCACAGAGGGTTCTAGTAGCCCTCTGAAATGACAGGCAACTATATCAGTCAGCTTGTGCTGTACAGTAAACCACTCCAAAACATAGGGACTTAAAACAAAAACCATTTATTTAGTTCATAGTTCCGTGGGTCAAGAGTTTGGGCGGCGCTCACTGGGTGTGACTTCTGTCTGGCTGATCTCAGCTGGGCTCAGGCTTACCTGTTGTTGGCCAGGTGAGCTGGAGGCTTGGGGCTCTGAAATGGCTCACCTGGGACAGCTTTATCTCTGCTCCCGCTGGGCTCTCATGCTCTGACAAGCTAGGCTGGCCTTATTTACATGGAGATGGTTACAGTGGACCTCAGAGAGTGAACAGAAGTATCTATAAAGCCTCTTTATAGCTATAAAGTATCTATAAGGTCCGAACTTAGTACCCACACAGTGTTGCTTACATGCTATTCTACCAACCAAAGCACGTCACAGGGTGGAGAAATAGATTCTGCTTTGAGTGGAGGAGCTGCAAAGCATTGTGGCCATGTTTGCAGTCTGCCATGCAGCACAGTGTGGAGTGTTTTTCCTGGGGGTGATGGTGTAACTTTCATTAGACTCTCAGGTACTATCTCCAAAGTTAACCAATATTTTAAGTGATTTCACTACTGAACCAAAAGATATTTGGGAGACCTAAATGATGGATGCATCTGTTTGGAACATGGCTTGATGTGTGTCAGTGGGATTCTCCATTGTTCCTGTTGTATCAAGGCGCAAGGATTATCCCCTCTGACTTCTGTACTGAGCCTGAAAAACAAGAACCACTGTCCAATGTATCAGTTAGCTTCTGCTGAGTAACAAAGCACTCCGACAGTCAGTGGTCTCAAATAGCCGCCATTTATTTGACTCATGTCTCCGTGGGTCAGCAGATTAGGCTGGTCTCAGATGGACTGCCTTGTATATCTACAGTCAGCTGCAGGTCACCTGGGGGCTCTGATTCTGGGAATTGACCGGTTGTCTTGACGGGTGTGTGCACCGTTTGTCTCTCACCACCAAGCAAATCAGCCTGGGCTTGTTCACATGATGGCCACAGGGTTTCAAGAGAATGAGTAACAAGGTTTGGTAAGCCCTAGGCTTGTTTCTGTGGGACATGAGAAGTCACAAGTTCAGCCCAGATTCTCTAGTGCGGCAGTAGACTCCACCTCTGGATGGGAGGGACTGCAGACATGTTGATACAGGGAAGATGGAGAGTGGTGGCCAGTTTTGTAATCTTTCCTGTCCACTCTATTCAAATAATTCCTTATCACACCTCAAATTGAAGTAAATACAATCTTCACTTATATACATACTTTTAAATAATAATATTGTATGTGAAGCAATAGTAATATAAGTAGTAGCATTAAACCACACTTAATATTTAAGAAACATTAATGTTACCTCTCCACCTCTTATTACTGATTTTTAAATTCATACAAATATTTTACAGGTATAAACAAATTATGTCGATGTATTTTTCTAAATAAAATGATTTACTTGTTTTCTGCTGCTTATCCTTCCTTCTTGTTCTCTAACCCAGCCCGCCCTGGAGCCAGAGCCGCCTTTCTGAACGATTTTCCTGACTGCATTGTGTTTGTTGGGCAATCTTTAGGGGCTTGTCCATCATCCTGGTAGCTTGGCGTCTGAGGATCTGTGTCTGGCCTCTGCCTACCTTTCAGCTTCTGTTTTCTTCCATTCTCCCTTGAGCATTATTGATTACAGTTAAACCAAGTTTTTTCTGTTTCTTGAGCAATTTGCCCTACCCCAGTGATTCTTAACTATCTGGAGACATATTTGGTTGTTAGCACGGGGTGTATGTGCTGGGATCCAGTGGGCGGAGGCCGGGGATGATACTGAACGTTCCACAGTGCACAGGACAGCTGCCCACAGCAGAGGCTCATCTGGTCTGAAGAGCAAAGGACCATGGTCTTGCCTCCTCTGGGTCTTTTTCATGCTGCTCATGCCAGAAGGCCTTCCCTTTGGTGCTGCCTTTAAAATGTCCCATATTTTACAAAAGCCAGCTCCAGTGACCAGCCTTCTCAGAAACAGGTCCAGGCTGATCCCCAGCCTTGCCCCGCACACCATAGGCTCGCAGAATGCCTTCTGTAAGTCACTGAAATGCCCATCCGTTCATGTATTTATTATAATGTGTATGCAGTACTGTTTGTATTGTTCTTTTCTTATTTTTCCTCCCTTGTATTTCAGTTGGGTGTTTGTGTATTAGCTCTTCTGCTGAACTCTGGATTCCTGGACAACAAGCATCCCATCTTATTTATCTTTGTTGCTACTAGAGCACCTACTATGTGTTCTACATACAGTAGGTGCATAGTAAATATCTGTTGAATGAGTGAGAAATGTATACTATCCTATGACTTCAGATATGGTTATTCCTCCCAATAATTTTTTTTAAAAGAACTTAGTCTAAAAAAAGCCAACCAGTTGAACCAGAGTTTTTTTGTTTTTGTTTGTAACAGTTTGGGTCAAAACTGTGATAATAGATTGTTGTACAATGCAATTACTTGTGTTTATTTCTGCAGCTGTTTAGTGAAAAAATAAGTGGTGCTGAAGGAACGAAACTAGATGATGAATTTCTTGACATGGAAAGGGTAAGTGAGCATTTTAATGTAAATTGTGTGACAAATTTGACTTTCACTGTCATATGAGATTTACTGATATTTTAGAGTAGGAATGTAGGGAGTGGATTATGGAATCCAAATGGCAATTCCTTCACATTTCCAAGCCCAAATATTCCTTAATAAAGATAATGGAGGAGATATGGCTAATTGGTTCCCTCCAGTGGACAAAGATCAGAATGCTTAAAAGATGGTCAATCCTGGCCGAGAGTTATTGCTGGGAAAAGGCCCAAGTGAGGGTGATGATAGATCTTGGAGAATGAAAATGTATTTCTGGGATAAGACTCTTCAACTATATAAAGACTGATCCCGTGTGTGGAAGATACTGACTGTTCCCAGGTGTTGTCACCTAACAAGTCCCGTCCTGGGGCTGCCACTAGAACCCGCAGGGTGAGCTTGGTGAAGCTCTTCGCTCTTCCTCTCTTCTGACTTGGGACACAGGATGGTAATGGGTATCCTGCTTGCCTCACATGGGTAATTGTGATAATCATGCAAAAGTGAATGTGTATAAAAGTGTTTAGACAAATATGATGAGCTTGGTACAGAAATGTTTGTCACATGCTTCAAGGGAAGACTATGGAATCTTTGTCCCTTGACATGTTTCCTGGTCAGCTTTAAGTGCAATGGATAAGATTCCCTCAAACTTCACGTAACATTTAAAACAGGGTTTTCCTAATCATTTGAATTTCCTGCAACTCTAATAAAACATAAACATTTAGGTGATCAAACATTTCAAAGGTCTTCATGAAGAACTGGACATAGTGAAGAGTTCATAGTTTGTGAAACTTGTTGCTGGGAGCCGTGCCGCCGCACACGGGTTGCGCATACACGCAGCAAGCACAGGCACGTCTGTAAAGTAGGTTTGTTTCATTTCTTCATCATTTATGCCCCGTCTTGGGGCTCTGGGTTTGTGCAGTCATCTAATGGGAACCAGTACAATTTCAGGCTAGATGAGATGGCTTTGGACTCTGGGTTGATCATAGTTCATTTTAAATCACAAAAATGAAATTTTTTGTATTATAAATCACTCTGCAGCTCCCATTTTTCCTTAGCAATGCATGGTGTGCATCTTCCCAGTACATTGAGGCCTTCTTTATGTTTTTTAACTTGTAACTAATGAGTATTCCTTTATTTGAACACTTTATAATTTATCCAATCTCCCACTGACTGTAATTTAGGTTGTTTTCAGTTTTTAATACTACAATAAAGTGGTCTAACATCTCTTTAATATCACAGCAGTTTGCTGGTGTGTTTCCAGATAATAAACCCCTAGAGTATGATAGCTGAGACATTAATATGCTTATTAATAGGTATTTCTGTCTTGATTTCCACAAGGAAATCATTTTCAAACCAAAGTCATTTTGCACTCCTGCTTTATATGAAAGGGCCCTTTACTCTACACCTGTATAACAATATCTAATATTGGGTCTAATCAATTAAAATATTTTGTCAATATGGTTAATGGAAAGTCTTTTTAATTACAATTTTTCTGAATATTTTGTCAGATGTTTTTAGGCAACTTATATTTCTCCTCTTTTGTGGATTGTCAGTTTAAATTTTTGCTCTTTTTAATTGGGTGGTCTTTTTTTATTAATGGGAGTTCTGAGTATCATGGACACTAATAACACTTTGTCCTTCATAGATTTTTGTGTCTTGTTTTATTGTTCCACATTCATCAGACTTTGTGTAGTGCATCTTTTCACTGTTTCGTTTTTAATTTTATGGGGTCAGAATTTTTGTCTTTTCATTGTGATGTTTGGGTTTTGGATCATGCTTAGAAGATCCTTCCCACCCCACTATTTCAAAATATTCTCCTGGATAATTTATACTTTCATAGGTTTTTTTTAGGTCCATATTTTTTAATCCTGTATGTAGTGTGAAGCATAAAGCTAACTATATTATTCATTTGCCAAGTTTTAACAAAAGAAGAAATTGAGATGGGGTTTGAATTAAATTTGCATGTTAATTTGGGGAGGATTTACATTTTTCCAGAACTGAGTTTTCCCATCTAGAAAAGTAGCTTTTCAAACAGATGTATACATTTCTCACAATATTTATTCATTATTGTTGCTTATTTTTAAATTCTTCTCATGAATTGGGTTCTCCTTTTCCTTTACATCTTCTTTTGGGCTACTGATGACATAAAATAAAACTATTGAAATGTGCACATTTAACTTTTATTGTGCATTCTCACATTCATTCTCTGGTTAACCAACAGCTAGTGTCCAGGAATGGTTTTGTGGAACGAAGTATTCAGACTTAGCCTGATGGGGAAACCTTTGATATTAACACCATCTGCTGACAGGAAAATGAATGCTTGTTTTAGTGATAATACTAGGGATATGATTCTTTTATTGTGGATTTACTGGGGTGGTTCCTAACATGAATCATTGCTAAGGCATCCTTATGAAAGTACAGAAATTTAGGTTCATATAAGGACAGATAAAGAGAGTTTGGCTAAGAAAGGTCTAGTGTTGGTTTTGAGAAACCAAAGTATATCCAGTAACCTAGTGGAGCATAACAACTTGTCCAAGTTTTCTAAATATTACACTAATACTCATTTTAGTGTTTTTTAAAAAAAGCAAAAGAAATTAGTATTCTCCCACATCATTGGGAGGAGGAGATGTGCCAAAATAAAAAAGTGAGAAAATACTGCCTTTCACCCAAAATGTCAAAATTCATTTGGATTAAAGTCATTATAAAAATGTTGTAACTATTAAGTTAATGCAAATTACTTCTCTATTTGCTTTTCTGTGAATTCATTGTCATTTTCCAATATTTTTATGTGTTTATGTGTTTTTCTTTAAAGAAAATAGATGTTACCAATAAAGCTGTTGCAGAAATTCTTTCAAAAGCCACAGAATATCTTCAGCCAAATCCAGGTAAAGTTAGAAATGTTTTGAAATATTCTGTCATTCACTTGCTGTCACAGACCCTTTAGCCCCTGTTTACTTGGCGTACAGTTGATGTGACCTAGAAGCAATGCCCCCTGTGTCCACATAATGAAGTTCAGTTTTAAAGTCAAGCAGCTAAAGGTGGTTGCCGTGAACCCCAGCTGATGACGGATGGAGCAGACCACTGCAAAGCAAAGACATTTTTTATGAGATGCTTTAGAAACCCACCAAACATTTTACAAATGTTTTCTTTCTCCATCACTTCCTCTTTCTATTTTTAAATTTCCACCTCCTGTTCTAAAGGTGCATGTTAATTTGAAATGCTTTCATTTCATGGCTCAAATGCTAAAGAAATGAGGCACGGTGAAGGGGAAAAGCAACATGAGGGGGTCCAGGGTTACACCAGCTTCCCCACGGGAGGCTTTGAGGAGGTCCAGGGCAGCACGCCTTGCAGTTTTCCTGGGTCTGTAAACTATGGAAGCCAAGAGAGGGCGTCCACGCCTTGAATTCTGTGCGTTTCCAAGGCTGCCTTTCCTTTTAGGAATTTATTTGCCTGAAGTTACTGAGATTCTCTTGGCTATAGGAATCAGCACAGACCCAACCACCTAAAAACCTGGAAAGTAAAAATTTAAAAACATAAATTTTATAAAAGTCGTGTTCAGAGAGGTTGGTGAGCATAGAATCCCTTAGAATTGTACAGATGATTATAGTCGTAAAAACCACAATAATGTGTCTCTTCCTTGGCCTCATGGGTGACGGAGGTAAACCAGAGAAGTCCCTTCCCTGGTAAGTCAGCCGGGTCACAGTTAGCAAGCGCTTCCTGGAGGAAGGGCCTTCGTGGGCTCTGGGGCCCACTGTGCAGTTGGACGGAGATCCCGTCCTCGAAGAACTGGTGTTGGAATGGGGGAGGGAGGGTTGGCCAACAGAGAAAGTGTCCACTTGGGCTGAGACCTCTGGTTCTTCCAGAGAAGAGGAAGGGAGGCCGAGCAGCCTCCAGCCCGTTTAATGGCCCTCAACCAAGCACAGGCCCTGACAGTGGGAAGGGGGAGCAGTGGGCGGCGTGCATGCGTGTTGGTGGGTGTCTGTGGGGAGAGGGAAGCTTTGTGCCTGGGGCCCAGGAGGCAAAGCACTTTGAGGCTGAGGCGAGCAAGACCCAGAAGGGCTGGGAGTGTCTAGGGCCTCGTTACTCAAAGAGTGGCCCACGGCCCAGCAGGGTCAGCGTCCCCTCAGCGACCGTGGACTCAGCCAGACGGACTGAGCCCGACCTCCACGTTAACGGAATTCGGGGGTGATTTGTATGCACATTACCGTTTGGGAAGCAGTGACCTACAATACATTAAAGCACGATATCAGGACACTATGTGGCTATTAAAGTAAAAGAGAATAAAAGTTTTTGTCCTAAAATTGCCTTGAGCTCCACAAGCCAGTACGTGGTGCACTGTGGCTGCTGAATGAAGTCCCAAACGCCTAGTTCACTCCACTGCCACATTTTCCATCGATGTCTCCTGATTTGTCCTGCATTAATGTCTTCTTAGTGAAACCAGCCTGCTCTTTATCTGTTGGTTATGTGCTGTAAGCATTCCCTGGCCACACTTCACTACTTCTGGACCTCTCAGGGGCATCCTTCCATCCTTCCTGAGCATAGCGCTCTCTTTTCCTTTCCCAACAACACATCAGGCCTTATTTGCGCAACTGTATCTGGTCTGTTCTGCCTTCCAGTAGCTACACTGCAAGCTCCTGGGGCAGGTGCTCTGTGGAGTGCCTGTGATGGGCGGGCGAGGTGTGTCACACACAACTGGGATTATAGCTCATCGCCTGAGCCAGAGGACAGGAGGACAGAAGCAGTGGCCACCCACCACTTTCCTAGAGACCGGGAGCTGAGCTGCACCCGGGGGCCGTCCACACTGACTCACGTTCCCTAAAGAGGGACCTGTCTCCTCCTGGTCCTGCTTCCTAGGCGGGAATGTGTGGCAGCCCCCATCCTGGAATCAGTCTGATTAAATTCCTGGGGGCAGGCAGGGTGTTAACAACCAGCTGGTAGTTTGAAAGTCCACTAATAAGCAATTCTATTCCTAGTTTTCAGTGGGTCCCCAGAAATTCTCAGCTGCTTGCCCAGGGGTCAGGTTCTGACAACGGATGAGGGATTGCAGGCTTCCAAGCGCCTCTCTGGGGCAGGGGTGGTGGCCCCGGTACGGTCATTGGCAGGCAGTGGGGTGTGGCTCTTCCCTTCACCGTGCGGCTGCGCAGCAATGAGCTCAGCACCCACCGTGGTGAGGAGCTCAGAAATCGTGTGAGCAATGAAATAGGTCACACACAGCCCCGTCCTGCCTCCTGTCTCATGTATTTTGTCCAGGGCACCTTCAAATTCACCAGCCACGTTTTTTCATTGCTCTGTACTGGTTGCTTCACCTAGTCACTTGAAGGAATTACAAATGACAATGTTTTTAAGCATACAGAGCTAAGCTGGGAATGCTGAACACTGTGTCGAAGATCCGCGGACAGGTGAAAACCACCGGGTACCCGCAGACGGAGGGCCTGCTGGGCGACTGCATGCTCAAGTACGGCAAGGAGCTCGGGGCCGGCTCCACCTTCGGTGAGTAGTCCCGGCCACCCGCCGGGGCCGGGAGCCCTTTGCCGACCTTGGGTTACGCACCAAGCTCTTCTTTTCCCTGCCCTCACTGTTTTCCCATGTTACCAGAGAAATGCGCGTTCATTGCAGGAAGCTTAGAAACACAGGCAAGGAACCTAGGGGAAAATGCCCTCACCAGCCCAAATCACATACCCGAGACAGGCCCACCTGCGCTCTTGGCTGGACTCCCTTTACACCTTCTGTATACCCTCATGTATACTCACACACGCCGTTAAAAGTCTGAAGTAGAGTTGCAGTGTATGCACTCTTAGACCCTTTTGTGACCTGCTTAATTCCCTTTGACTGTGTCATGACCCATGTCATGAAAGAGTTCATCTTCCACAGTATCGTTTTCAAAGGCCGTATAATATTCCACGTGTTGTAGTTTGTTTCATCAATCCCATTTGCTGGACATGTGGATTTTCTCTTTATGTAAAATGATTTACCTAGCATTTATAAAAAACCATTTTCATAGGTAAATCTTTTGGAATATCCACGATTACGTTCTTAGATGAAATTCCTAGTGAAATTGCTGGGTCAAGAGTTGGCTTATTTTTCAGGTTTTTGAAGCATATTCCCAAATAACTTTCCAGAAAGGACATACCAGTTTGACACTCCTGCTGAGTGTAAGCGGGCATATTTGCCAGCACAGTCGCTAACTCTGGGTATTACGTCTTTACTTTTAAATAACGAATAATTTGGTATGTGGCATATAAAAATGGTATCTCGGTGCTGTTTGAACTTTACTTTTGGGCTTCTGTGTAAGGTACATTTTTCTCATGCCCGTCATCATTTTGGGGACAGTATGTTTGTGTCCTTTGCCTGCTTTTCCATTAAGGAGTCCATTTTGTTCCTTCTGGTGTACGGGCTCTCTCAATGGCCAGGGTGTTTGCCCTTGCTCTGCCTTATGTGTGGGTGCAGGGCTACCCCAGGTCGCCACTTACCTTCTGCCCTGTAGATGGGCATCGCTGGATGGGAGGAGGTTTTGCTTTTTATGTTGTGGAGCTCATCCATCTTCCTGTCCGGCTTATGGCTTCCGTGTGTTTAGAAAAACTTTCCTAGTTGCCCCTACAAATTGTATAAATGTTTATTTATCCTTTCTTTTGATACATGTTTCCTTTTTCTGCCATTCAATTTCTGAGCTCCTCAGTGTGATGGATGGATCTATGCAGCAGGGTTCTGGTTTTGTTTTCTCACAGATAAATATCTTGTTGTCCTAACATCTCATTGAAAAGTTTAACCTTTCCCACCTGATTTGAGCTAAGCTTTCTGTTACAGACTAAATTTTTCTATTTAAAGTTTGTTTAAACTCTTTTTCTTCTGTTTTCTTAATCAATACCATTTGATCCAGTGTTATGTTGTTTTAAGTATTGTAATTTCAAAATGTTTTAACATATTTAACTACAATTTCTCCTAGTTATCTTATTTCAGGGATTACTCACCTATTTCAGTTTGTTTTTTTCCCAGATGAAACTTAGCATCACTCTAAGTTTCCTCTACTAAAAAACAAAAAAGTCATCAAATTTTGACTAGAGTGGTTTAAATCCATCAAATGGGGGATAAACTGAAGTTCTTCCAGGAGAATCTGTCACTTTGGCTGATCATGTCGTGGTCACAAGGCAGGACATGGAAATTGAGAATTAAGATATTTGGCCAATAGTAATTCATTTGGCAACTGGGGGGAAATCTTAAAAAAAAATTTCAAATGCTAAAACATCAGTTAGTCACAGAGAATAATAATGTCCTTCAGAGCAGCATAATGTACATTTTACTTTATTTCCTGAGCAAATGGGACAAGGTCGCCTGTTCCTTGTCTTGACCTCACACAAGATCATGGGAAAGGGAGACGGCCAGGCGGGTCCTGGTGTTCAGGGACAGCCCTACAGCGCACCTGCCATGGTGACTGGGCCGGGGTGTCGATGGGCAGACAGGTGGTAGCTTCCCAGGTGCCCAGCAACTAAGGGGACTTGTGTGAGGGAAGAGAGCTGCTGCTGAGGGCACTGGGAGCGGATGGGCCTGTCTGGGGAGGTGGCTGTGTGCTTGGATGCTTTCTTCTTGGGGCCACGTGGTGGGCCTCCTAAAGGAACAAACCTCAGTGGGTGGAGCTGCGCCCCACACGCTCACGGGATTTAAAGCGCTAGTCCTGGTAAGGAGAGGGAATGTTGAATCCGCAGAGGAATGGCCAGTATGCAGAATGTCATCTTTGGAGTCTCCAAGGAAATATATTTGGAAATGTTTCCACAGAAGCTACATGAGCTGACCTTCTGGGGTGTCAGAAGGGGTGGCAGAGGGGTCGGAAGCAGTACCCTCCATTTCTGACCAGTTGGGCAGGCAGAGTCCCCAGGCTTCAGGATGTCTCATTTCTGATGTCCCATCAGAAGAGTCCACACCCAGAATTTGACCTCCCAGGAAGAGTAAAGCTGTAGTTTAGAGTAACATTAGTTTCCATTTATAGTCTGCAAAGTCCTGTAACATACACTATGCAGTTTATTTCTTTGAAAGGAAAAGTGAGGCAAGACTAAATGGCTACCCCAGTTTTACAGGTGAATAAACTGTGCCTGCCCTCGAGGAGTGGGTGAAACAGCCTGAAGGTCGGAATTTGCTAGAAATGCAAATTTGTAGGTGGTCTTTATGATTATCTTCAAGCCTGGGAGCTGGGAGAGCCCAAGCTTTACCTTTATATGAGATCAATTCGGAGAACCCCAAATGCAGGAAAAATAGTTCATTCTAACGTAGCACGTCCCAGAAATGTCTTCTAGAGAAGCTGCAGCCGTCACTGTGCACAGTTACCCAGACACGTGCTAGAAACGACTGCGGATCAGCTGGCGCTGGATGCTGGGGTGCAAGCTGCCCAAAGCTGCCTGCAGGGGGCGCTGGGACTCCGTGCAGAACTGGCCCTGCCTCCCCCTGAGGGGCTGTCCTGGGTGACACTGCTGGGCCTGCTTTGACATCCAAGGGGCCAGGGAGCCTTAGAGCAATCGGAAGGATCGGGGGAGTGGCCTCCCGAAGGTCTGGCAGCTCGGAGCTGAGATGAGCTTTTGGTCGTGAATTTCTGTTGTAATCTGCACCGGGTGATACTTAGCCCCGATGGAGAAATCCTTTCATTGTTCACAAAGAGGGATTTTTTCTTGAGATTTAAGGAATCCTTTATGCCAGTTCACAAAAGTCCAGGCCTCCCCTGCTATCCCAAACTGGAGCGTTGCTGTAGAAGCTTTTGTCCAACGTGGCATGACGTGAAGAAGCGATTGCCATCAATTTATGTGGAAAAAATTCTGAGCATTCCCAGACCCCCAAAAATAACCTCTTAGGTTTTTCCGATACCTTAGGACACTGCTTGCTAACGGATGCACAAAATAAACCGAGGTAAGGCACAGATGATCACAGACACAGCTCAGGGCCCTGGGGGTTAGGTCAAGGGAAGCAGTGCCAACTGTCGGAAAGGGGGGGACACGCCTGTTCCAGCTCAGAAAGGAGCTCTATCCCCATCTGGTGTTCAGAGTAGTGAGTGCCAGGGTCTGTTGTGGCCTCTGAGTTCCGTTCTGTGTAGTAGAGAAAGTGCAGAACAGGAGAGGAAAATGTAGAAAACAGGAAGCCCTGGCTTTTCCTTTTCTCCTCTGAGTGAGGGTCCGATGGTCCCAGAGCAAGGACCTTGTTACACCATCATCCACAATCTCTTGGGCAAGAATTAAATGTCATTGTTACCTGCTGAGGAACCTTTTTTATTTGTGTTTTCCACTCAAGGCAACGCACTGATAGAAGTTGGTGAATCCATGAAGCTAATGGCTGAGGTGAAAGACTCTCTTGATATTAATGTAAAGCAAACTTTTATTGATCCACTTCAGTTACTACAAGACAAAGATTTAAGAGAGATTGGGGTAAGTCTTCTTGGGTATAAATCTACCTGTTACTACTTTAAAATGATATCTATATGGAAAGTCATTAGACCATTTCTGTAGGGACCCATTGAAAGTATTATCTTGTCATGGGTGGTGAAAAAATTACTCAGGTAAATGTACCTGGCTCACCAGGAAAGAGTCCCAGGGTCAGTTAGCCAGTTATTCTGCATCTTAGTGAAGCCGGCTGAAAGCCAAGCTAAAAATAAAAATTTCCACAGTCATTTCTCACAAAACAAAATGATCCCATAACTTTGTGGTGGAATTTTGATAACCAAAAATCATACCATATTACTTGCAACTTTCAAGACTTTGCACTAGTGGTAATTGTTTTTCATTACTTCTCAAGGGGATCAGCATCTAGGAATAGAAATTTTTTTGGGGGGAGAACTGTTAAAAATGACCACCTAGAGAATGCATGGGAAGCTTTAGGGACCCACAGGTAGTCACATGCTGCTTCTTGGTGGCAGTTTTGTAAATGTGCAGAACAGCCTCAAGACTTAGACCCCTCCAGGGCCCCTGCTCTGGAGGCCAGCTCTGCTGAGACCTTCTTCCAGAGCTGCCCAGAACACCTTCCCGCACGTGCCTTCAAGGGTGATCTGAATGCATCCAGGGCCAGCTGGGAAGCCATCTGAGCCTACGGGTGTCCCCTTTCCTGTCGTGGGCCCAGTGATTCCCCCAGTGTGGCCCCTGGACCAGCTGTGGCAGTGTCACATGTAGAAACACAAACTTTCAGGCCCTGTCCCAGATCTAACAAAATCCTGGGTGCCTGGATAGGCATTTAGAATTTACACTGACACCCAGAGGGTTGGAGGGGAATCAGGAAGGTAGAGAAATGAAAGCAGACCTTCAGGAGCTCCCGGAACATTCCACCACCGCCCGTGGACCTCGGCCCCTCACTCACGTTGTTCTCTTTCCCTCCCACTAAGGGAAGGCAGGGTGCCTCCTGCCCCTCCGGCCAGAGCCTCTCGGGGCCCCGGAGCCCATCACTCACCTGCTCAGGGCCTTCCCCGCATCTCCCCTCCCCTCCCCTGGGTCTCTCTTCCCTTTCCTGTTTGTCAGATTCTTCCAGTTAGCGTTCAAACACGTGGGCACAGCAGCCCTTGACTCCTGGCTTCAGACCTCCCCCTCTAGCCTGCCCTCCACACCACAACCAGCAGGGCCTGTGGCTCACCCCTTCCCCCCGGAACTCCGCCCAGCCTCTGGGGGGGACTTGCTGTCCCTGGGACATTCGCTTTGTGCTGTCCCTCTGGTTCCTGTCTTCCCCCTTTCCTGCTCTCCCAGCGAAGTCATCTGCCCTCTCGAAGCTCAGCTCGGCTGTGCTTCCCTCTGGGAAGCTCTGTCCTCGACTTCATCCGGTGTCCCCTCGGTGCCCGCCACGCCACGAGCATCATTGCATCTCTACGGGATGCGGAATGCACAGCCGAGAAGTGTAGGATGGGTGCCTGTCCCTGGGAATTGCGGCCGTCGGAAGGCAGCGACCCTTCCTGGGGAACTGGGGGTGTCCTGGGCCATGTGCCGTGTGCAGCGTCTCTCAAGGCCTCCCCCCTCTCCCACAGCACCACCTGAAAAAGCTGGAGGGCCGCCGCCTGGATTACGATTATAAAAAGAAGCGAGTAGGTAAGATACCAGACGGAGAAGTCAGACAAGCGGTAGAAAAATTTGAAGAGTCAAAGGACTTGGCTGAAAGGAGCATGTTTAATTTTTTAGAAAATGATGTAAGTATTTAACCCAAACAGGAGACCTTAGTGTGAATGGAAGCGTTGACTGTGTGGCCAGGACTGGCACGTGGGGCTGCTCCGGAGCCCTGGCTGCCGCAGAAGCTTGCGGGGTCCATGGGGCCATCCTCCTGCTCCGGAAGGGGCCGCAGGCATTTGGGGAACCCGGCTCAAACGTCAAGTCCTGGGGGGCCCTGCTCAACCGGGGCTGCCCCACATGGGCGCGAGTCGGCCTGGGGAGGCAGGCTTGTAGGGGGGCTGTGATGCTGGCAAGGTACTAATCCTGGAGAAACAGAGAAAATCCCTGTGAAACCAGGTCCACTAACCTGCGTGCTGAAAAGTACACTCCGTTGTTTCTCCTTTTAAATATTTTATCAGGTTTTTTACGTTTTATGGGAAATGGGAAGAGGTGTAACAATTCTGTTTTTCCCTCAAAAAATATAAATTTCCTCTAGAAATTGTCCCAAGCAACAGGCAATTTTGGTTTTGTTTTGTTCAGATTGCTGTATTCATATTTGATTCTCTACTGAGAAAGTGTTTTTGACGTGTGGTGCATCAGATGCACGTGTTCTTTATCGGGCCGAGCAAACCCCACCCTCCAGGCCCTGCGCCCATTCCTGGGGGACTAGGCTCCGAGGTGGGACCTGTGTGTCCCCGAGCTGCCTCGCCCAGCTGCTTCCGTGGTGCCTGGTGCTGGGATGTTAGGTTTTTATCACGGTGCCCGGTTTTCCCTGCAGGGTCAGGCAGAAGTCAGGGGTGGTCCCTCCCTTAGGAAAGCACAGTCATTTGTTCGTTGACAGTGACAGCATCTGCTTGTCACAAATGCATCAAACCCCCCAACACACAACCTGGCAGACACACCAGGGCGTTGACCCTGCAGAGGCATGAAGTGCAGTGTCTCCTCCAAAGTTCCTGGGGTGCAGGGCACCCTGTGCATCTCTGGGGAGCCCGGGCTGCTCCCTCAGTCCAGGGCCTGGGCTCACAACCCACCATCAGTTCACTCTCGGGGGGTGGCCCAGTCCTCGACAGCAGCCCTGGGAACCCACCCAAGGGGGGGAGGTGAAAATGATGAAGTGGCGGTGGGCTTCCCAGGCCGTGGAAGGAGGCCCCTCCCTTTCTCCTCCTTTCCTCTGCTGCCGCCTTGACTGCAGGGCGGTGGTGGCAGGAGCCGCCGTCCGCTTAGTGCCATGATGGGGCTCGGGTGCTGGCACGGCCCCTCGAGCACACCCGTGCCTTTACCTTCCCTGCCCGTGCGTAGCCGAGGTTCACAAGTCCAGAGGGCCACCTTCATCCTCTTCTTGGGGCAATAGCAGGTAGGCCTCGCAGGGGACCATCTTGTCCTTTTCTGTGTCAGTGGGCCTGGGCTGTATCCAGGGGTCTGCAGGGGCTACTGGCGAGCAGGTGTAGAGCATCTTCTCCAGCCCACCCCTTGGACCTGGCATGCGGGTGCCGAAATCGCTGGGGCCTGGGGATACAGGGGGTGCGACTCGCTGGGGAGACATCAGAGGCCCAGCTAACCCTGTGCTCCTCCTGCCCTCAGCCGCCCCCAGCCGCCTGCGCAGATGTAGGCCTCAGAGAACCCACTCTGGTCATGGAACATTCCGCAGCCATCCTGAGCAGGAGTGGAGAGGGCTGGGGCAAGGGCCTGGCAGAGCTCGCTCCCAAGTGCATGACGAAGCAGAGCGGCGGGACTCCTGCCCAGAGGGCAGGACTCCCTGGAAGACCCGTGCGCAGGGGCAGCTTGCCTGAGCTCATGGGACCTCAGCACCCTGCCCCAGGCCCGAGGTCTAGACCTGGAGCACCCCACAGGGAGAGGGAGGTGGCCGAGCCAACAGCCTGAGGCCCGCGTCACCTCGTGGCCGCCTGATGAGGCATCTCCTGCGGCACACGGACCCCAGAGCCAGGCCCCTGGCGTCCCTTCTGTGCAGGGCCAGACGCCCGGTTGTCAGGCTCCCGGCTGACACGCCGCTCCACCTGTGGTGTGGGAAGAAGGAAGGGGCGGGTGTGTGGTCCTCAGAGTGCCCCTCTGTCCTCTTCCTGGCCTGAGAACCGTCCCCTGGTGGGTGGCTGCTCAAGGGCCTGAGGCAGAAAGCTCACCGCCCTGCTGCTTCCCGACCACCCATTCCCACATCCCTCTTGCGCAGAGCTGATCTTAGGGGACCCTCACTGCATAGAATATGTGGTCTTCAAGCCATTCTTCCTCTGGGCGCTGGATCCCACAGGTGGCCTGGCCCATGGAGGGCCCTGTCCTGTTGAAGACATGCTTTACTTCTGGGCAGGTTCTGGCCTTGCAGAGCCTGTGTTTATTGTGACCTGGGTTCTACCCGCCCAGGGGTTTAATTCTAATGGTGGTTTGGAAGCAGAGGCCACCAGCACACGTCTCACGGCTCCTGATGCGAGGCAGCTGGTGGGGGGCAGAGGGTCCCCTCGTGGCACCACGTGGCGTCACTGTCAGCAGACTTGCACTTCGTAACCTCCCCTTCAGTAGATGTACCTACTGTGCGCAGGTACTGTGTCACATGGCTGTTGCCCCCCAAATTTTAAGGGGCCCTGGGATCCATTTCCTTTCCAAGGTCAGCGATCAATGAGCAGTTACAAGTGCATCCCTAGATGACGTAATCTTGTAGTTTTGCACATTACCGAGGCTGGCTGGCGACCATCCCCGTTCCCCTCTCCCAAATCCCCCATACGCTTCAAGGAATATTCATTTAGCTATCTTTCAAAGTTCCTTTAAAAAAGTGAAAGTGTTGAGCATTTTTGAAAGTGGCTATTAAAATAGAAATTAACTTTGCTAAACACAGGGAATTACCCAGCACGGCTCTTGCACCTAAGGAATTCTATTCTGTTGCAGATTCTATCATGATCATGTTAGGCCATGGCGCTGGGCTTGCATAAAAGTTAGGTGTGAAAGCCGAAGAGGGGAAACTAAGGAAATCCTGAGGATTTTGTGGGGGCCAGGTGGTTTCTGTTTTGTTTATTGGTCTTTTGGAAATTTAAGGCAAGGCTTGTTGCTCTTTCAGCCACAGAGTGTGGAAGGTAAATGTAATATGACGGCATTTCATTGTTCAGATGCGGACCATGGTATGGCGCAAGTGGAATCCCGGGTGTGTCTTAAATGAGCATTGGACCCATGTGTAAAGTGGTGTAAGTGGGCAAGGATGATGAAAGCACAGGCAGCTGAAGCATGGTTTGTGACATCACATGAATACAGCTGGGTCTTTGAGGGCACGCCCGCCACGGCTGGTTTTGCAGGGGGTGAGTGAGAGGGAGTGGTCAGGGCAGGCTGCGCCCAAAGGCTCGTCAGCAGATGAAGCGAGGACATCATGCAGAGGCTTTGGGGAGCCTGGGAAGAGGGGGTGGCTTGGGCCTGTCTCTGGATCTGGGGTTCATGGCATTCGTACTGGGGACTGCGGTTCCCTTGGCTGGCGGTCCTGCCTCTGAGGCTTGGCAAAACAGCTTCATTAGCCCCTTTCCTGCAGCAGCCGACGTGGGGAAGCAGGGAAGCTCCCGGCCCTATTGGGGATTTCTCTTCTGCAAATTATGCACCCCGGGTCTTCTGGGCTTTCTTAGGTGATCAAGCTTTTTAAATTTACCTCTTGCATCCATTGATTTGGTTGCCAGTTTCATGAATGTCTTGGTTCATGGGAAAGGGAGACAGATGTCAGAGTCTTTGCAGATCATCCCTTTTAGCTGTTAGGTTTCAGGGAAATGACTTTGTGCTGAAGCAGCAGAAACACATGGGGCTGCCAGGCCCTTGCCCTGGGGCGCACCTTGCTCCCTGGTTCCCTTCTCATCTGAGAACAACTTAATTTCCTTGGTTTCTCCATGTGACTTAGCTGGAAAGTGCCTGCAGAGATGCTTCACTAAGGAGCAGCTCACTTACTAAATGTTGGCTTCACTTGTAATTGGAAAAGCTTTATCTCTCCATCTTCAGATCCATGAGCTTTATGGCAAAAAATCTCTCGAGACTATCATCTAATTGGAAAAACAGCCGTTTTATTGAGTTTAATCAAATTCGTAATCACAAATAAATTTGAACATGCTTTTCCAGAATGTCTGGCTCTCCACCATGGCCTGTTTACTACACAGGGCTCCGAGGTGGAATTAAGTGGAATGGACCCGAGCCGAGGCAGACACTGGACTTCCCTGCGAAGTGTGTTCTCTTCTCTCTCTGCGCATTCCACAGGCTTGGCCTCCATGGGGTAATTTTCCACTTGTGCTGCAGGTAGAACAAGTCAGCCAGCTGGCCGTGTTTGTAGAGGCGGCTTTAGACTATCACAGACAGTCCTCAGAGATCCTGCAGGAGCTGCACACAAAGCTGCAGATGCGGTGAGCGCCTGCGCCTTCGTTACAAGCCGGGGTTGCCGAGGGGAAATCAGTCCAAGTCCACCCGTCTGTCTGTCCCTCCGTCATCCCCTCCCCTTCACCTATCCTGGTCTGAGTTTTCTTTAGCGGCTCTCATGGCTGGGTGTGGGGACACCCCCGAGATCATACATACGTGGCTTCGGCCGATAGGACAGAACTGGGAGAAGGACCTGGCAGCTTTCTCCTCTGTCTTTTCACTAAAGCCCTTTTTCATGACCTGTGTATCGGGCAACCAGACAAAGTTGTCCAGCCCTACAGAGCTGTCTTGGCTTCATTGCTGACTTGATGAACATTTAGCTCTCCATTTACAAGCTGGAGGTAGCAATGGCATATACCCTCTTGCCAACATGCAGGGATGTAGGGGAGAGTAAAATGATATTCAGAAAGGATGTAAATATTGGGAAGATGTATTTTTATGTCACCAGTACACATATAAGGCTGTGTTCATAATACTGACCCTGAGATGGAGGTGTTGAGAGTCAGAAAAACATTCTGAATGACCAAAGGAAGGTGCTGTGTTCCCCGTGGCTTTAATGATGGTGTACCTATACTTTTCTGAAAATTAATGATATCATATGTAGTAACCCTATTAATTCAAATAGTGGGTTAAAATCTGGATGGAAAAACTATGGATTAGGTTTGATAACAAAATTGTTTTACGTGAGATTATGACAATGAATAAGTTGGGAGGGATTTTTACTTAGATTGATGCCATAATTGTAGGGGGCAGACAAAGGGTATGTCCGGTCTCTGGAGCATCCATTTCTGTGGGCAGGAGGTTCAACTGGTGCTCGCATGAGTGTAATTTTGTGATCCTTTCTCTGTATGAGGAGAGAGGGGACAGCCAGCTTTGTTGAGGGCCCAACACATCCCTGGCACTGGCTAGATACCCCAGAGCCACAACCCTTTTCAAAAATAGAGCTGAAAATCCTCATTTGGGATGTCACACCTGCCACCTTGGGCTGCTCAAGACTGATGTGTGAAAGCCACCCCCTTTAGGACCCCACCTGTCCCCTAAGTTTGTGGACGCAGAGCGGACACATGTCTGGAGGCTTGCCTTCTTCATCAGGTAACTGACTGATCTTAAAACATGTATTGCAGAATATTGACTGCATCCAGTGTCCCCAGACGAGAGTACAAACCACGGCCCATCAAAAGGAGTCCTAGTGAGCTCAATGGAGTGTCCACCTCCCCTTCAGCAAAGGCATCAGGTGAGATGGCCATTTGGTGTGTCAGGGAGCCTTGCAGTAAGACACTGCCAGGCGCATTTGCTGGCAGCTTGTCTGTGTCCTGGTGCGCACGCACCGGGACCCTGGAGCTCCTTCCTCGGTTGTTTGGTGAATCCTCCCCCTGCCCCCAGTGGTGCCCCTTTCTCTGCCCTGCTTTAGGACACGTACTACATCAAGTTTTGAAAACCAAACACCAGGGAGAACTCTACCTGTTATTGCTATCTAATGTGTTAGACCTTAATCCATCATGAGACATTATTCTTCACATTTACACTTTTAACTGTTTCAAAAATATTTCACTAATTTTTAAAAAGTTTGAATTAACATTTGTTGAGCACCTGTGCTACACCCTGTCTTAAGTACTACATCACTATTGTTTAATTAGACAAATGACACAGGTATGTTCTTGAATAAAATAATCAAACTGAGAAAAACAACATTCGAGTGGTGTAGCTCACGCTGCAAATCTCCTGTGATGACCCCTCCACCTCAGCCCCTCCCGAGGTGCAGCCGCTGCTAGCGATTCAGTGTGGACACTGGCATATCTGTTTCTGTACGTGTATATATACACACACACTATACACACAGCTTTAGATTATTTTGTTTTTCAAATACAAGATCATACTAGGTATATTGTTCCACTGCTTGCTGTTGTGAACGTATCAGTATTTCCTGTAGCTATGTTGGTCATGCATGTAGATCTATCCCACTGTTTTTTAATGGCATATTTTGCAAAACATTCATGGGTAAAAAATGGTATTCAATCTTAATATGCCTTTCTGTGATAAGTAGTGAGGTTAAACATTTTTTTTCTGTATTTTAACTTGTCATTTGTATTTTCTCATGTCTGAATTGTCTGTTCACATAGTTTGCTTTGTCTTATTGATTCATAAGAATTCTTTACATATGGGGATTTTAATAGGTTTTGTTCCCAGTTTAGGGTAGAGGTTTTAGAGTTCTCTATATATTTTAACTGTAAGTCCTATGACATATATGCTGATATTTGTTTACTCCATAGCTTCTTTTTATTCTCTTAAGGGTTTTTGGCAGACCAAAAGGTTTTAATTTTGATGAAGTCCAGTTTATCAGGTTTTCTCTTTAAGGTCATGCTTTTGGTGTGAAGTCTAAGAATTCTTTGCCTTGTCCTATATCCTGACGATTTTCTTCCATGTTTTTTGCAAAAGTTTTACACTTTCACATTTTATGTTTCACTCTCTGACCCACCACTGGACTATTCTAGTAGCTTTGCAGGCCCACGTGAATTTTAGGATCAGCTTTTCAGTGACTACCAAAAAAACATACTCAAATTTTGATGTGGTTTGGGTTGAATCTATAAATCAGTTTTATATATATAAAATAGTGACAACTTAACACTATTGAGTCTTCCAGTCTTTGGATTTTTATTTTCTGTTTATTCAGGTCTTTTTTGATTTCTCTCAGCAGTGTGTTGCCATTTTCAGTGTATAGGTCTTGTACATTTTTTTAATCAATGTCCCAATATTTCATATTTTTCACATGATTTTAAACAACATTTTTATAAAATTTCAGTTTCCAATTTTTTTTTTCATTGCTGGTATATATAAACAAAATTGACTTTGGTATATCAATCTTATATCCTTCCATGAGACTAAGTTCACTTATTAGTTCTAATAGGTTTTTTATAGATTCTATAGTTTATCTGTATAGATGATCATGTCATCTACAAATAAAGACGGTTTTGCTGGCTGTGCGGATGCCTTTTACCTGCTTCCCTAGGCTTTTTGCACTTGCTAGAACCTGTCTCCAGTACAGGCTGTTGGATGGAACGATCAGAGTGGACACCCGTGTTCCTGATGTTAGGGGAACAGTGTTCAGCCTTACAGAGCTGAGTATGACACTAGCTGTAGGTTTGCCATAGAGCTCTCTTATCAGATGGAGGGAGTTGCCTTCTGGTCAATAGTTTGCTGAGAGTTTTTATCAGGAACAGATTTTAGATTCTGTCAGATGCCTATTTTGGCATCTGTTACGGCCATCATATATTTTTTAGTTTTAGTTTGTTAACATGGTGAATTACGTTAATTAATTATGCATTCCTGGGGTAAACCCTTTGTGGGAAAGGTTTTTTTTTTTTTTTAAATAAACTTAAGTTTAGAGTAGTTTCAGATTTATAGAAAAGTTGCCAGGACAGTATTGAGCATTCCCATATACCCCAAACCATTTTCCATTTTATTTAATGTCTTATGAGTTTGGTACAAGTATTATAATTAATGAACCTATATTGATACTTTATTATTAACCGAAGTCCGTACTTCATTCAGGTGTCCTCAGTTTCTACCTAACGTCCCCTTTTCTGTTCCAGGATCCTACCCAGGATGGCACATGACATTCTGTGCTGTTAGCTGGGACAGTTTCTGAGACTTTCTTTGTTTTTTAAGAGTCTGGCAGTTTGGGGAGTGTTCAGGTATTTTGTAGAATGTTCTTCAGTGGATATTTGCCTGGTTTTTTTTCCACGATGACACTGGGGAGTGGGTCTGGGGCAGAAAACCCCCGAGCTGAAGTGCCATTCTCAGGGAACATCCCACCAGCACGATTAGTAACTGCTGATGGTCTTGGTCACCTCGCTGAGGCTGTGTTTGTCAGCTTTCCCCTCTGTAAAGTTAATCTCCTAAAAAATTTTTCCCTGTGCACCGGTTTTTAACACCAAATTCCATTTCTTTATAGATGTAAGGCTCTTGAGGTTTTCCACTTCTTGAATGAGCTTTGGTAGTTAGAGTCTTTCAAAGTATTTGTCAAATTTATTGGCACAAAGTTGTCCATATATGCCCTTTTATTCCCTTTTAAAGATATTTAGACTTTGTAGTGATGTTACCTCTCTCATTTCTAATACGTAATTTGTGTCTTCTTGTTTTCTTGACCAGTCTGGCTACAGGTATATCAATTAATTGATCTTCTCAAAGAACCAGTTTTCTGTTTCATTGATTTTCCTATTACTGTTTTCTAGTTCATTGAGTTCCACTTGAATCTTTGTTATTTCATTTCTTCTGCTTGCTTTGAATCTCGTTTGATCCTCTTTGTCTAGTTTCTCAAAGTAGAAGCTGAGGCTCTTTCTTCCTTCGTAAAGTATGTGTTTAGTGCTAGGAATTTCCCTCTACTACTTAGGCACCTTTTCTTAGATATTGATATATTGTGTTTCCATTTTTATCCTCTTCCAAATACTTTCTAATTTCACTTTTGAAATCCTTTTTGACCCATGGTTTATTCTGAGTTGTGCTATTTAGTTTCTATATATTTGGGGATTTTCCAGATATCTTTCTGCTTTAGCTTTCTGATTAATTCCATTCTGGTCAGGTAACATACTTTGCATGAATTGTATCCTTTTAAGGTTTTCGAGGCTTACTTTACAGCGCAGAATATAATCTCTCTTGGTAGGTGTTCTTCACTTGGAAAGCTGTGCGTCCTGTTCTCGTTGGGTGTGGTGTTTCTGTCCATTAGGACGAGTTGTTCGATAGTGTAGTTCACGTCTTCTATGCTCTTCCTGATATGTTGTCTTTTCTATTAGTTCTTGAGTGAAGGGTATTGCCATCTCTGATTGGAACTGTGAAGTTGTCCGTCCGTCCTGGGAATTCATTCGGTCAGAAGTGTGGGAGATTGGTGGTATTCCCCTCCCCTTCCTTCATTCTCATTGACCCTTTTAATCTGATTACTCATATTGTTCTTTTAAAAAGGGAAACGTTTTTTAATTGCTTTAATTATCCTTCTCTATTCCTTCTGATTCTTTGCTTTTAAAATCCTACTGGGCGCTGAGCCTTTGGGCTGCCTGTGTCTTACCTCTTCTTGCTTTCCATATCTCTGCTTGTTTACTCTGCTCCCTGAGGAAATTTCACTTTATTACTTTTTTCTTTCTCTGTAGCCATTCATTTATTTCACTTATCTATTGAATTTCTTTTTCCAGTTGAGTTAGCTTCCTACTGAGGCTCTAACAAATTGTTGCCAACCATGCAGCTTAAAATAACAAAACCCTGTTATCTGCCTTACAGTTCGGAGGTCAGAAGTCGTAAAATCGTGGCCAGTGTTCGTTCTGGGGGCTCTGGGGGAGAACCCGTCAGCTCGCCTTGTCCACCTCCTGGACTCTGGCTCGGGGCCTCTGCTTCTCATTCAAAGCCCCAGCGTCACGTCTCCCAGCCTCGGTCTGACCTCTGCCCTTCTTGTCCCGTCCCCTTCTCTGGCTCTGACCCCCCTGCCTCATTCTTCCGAGGACCCTAGTGATCACACTGTGACTGAATTGGGCCCCACCCCATGATTCAGAGTCATGTCTCCATCTCAAGATCCGTGCTTCGGTCACACCTGCAAACCCCCTTTTCCCACATAAGGACGGAAACATATTTATAGGTTCTGCGATCAGGATGTTCACATCTCGGGGGGGCTTTTAAAAAATAGCCCTAAGTGCAACCAGTGTTCAACAAAATAGCATTTTCTCACTCATGCAACGATCCCGGGAGAATACTCCAAGGGGATGGGTGGTTGTACTCCGTGGAGTCCCTCGGGGGCCGAGGCGGAGGGACCCTTGCCATCTCCATCATGTGGCTCCCAGGTCGTCCCTCCTGTTGTCGCTCCAGCCAGCAGAAAGGGGACAAGGAACAGAGGTCTAGGTGTTCCCTCTTAAGCCAGCCCGGCGGAAGCCACACAGCCAGTGCTGAGTTGAGTTCCAGTGCTCAGAACTCATTCCAGTGCTGAGAACTCCATCAGTGACCCCACGCAGGGGTGAAGCCAGTTGAAGGATGCATGCTGTACACTGGAAAGCACACGGCAGGTGCCAGGCCGTGGTGAGGGAATGCTGCTGGAGCAGAGAAAGGAGTTCCTGGTGGACCCTGGTCTCTCTGGGGCTTGGGGGCATCTCTTGCCCTTTCCCTGTGTGCCCCTAGACTTGAGCTCTCTCAGGTCTTCTGTGTCTTCATTTGCACCGCAGGCGGACTGTGGAAAGCTGCCTCCTGTGGGACTCGCAT